CAGCACCCTCCACAAGCTCACCAGACCCAAGATGATCTCTCCATCTTCTTTCTGTGAGAAATTTTGGCAAAAGGAAGGGTAAAGGAGTGGAAAAGAGGGGGCACCTGGAGTTGAACCAGGGACCTCTTGATCTGCAGTCAAATGCTCTACCACTGAGCTATACCCCCTGGCTTTGTACCTCTCGCAAGGACATTTTAAAAACATTCACCTGGAGAGACAAGGTTTTATGTCCACTGGTCTGAGTCTCATATTGACACCCCCCTGAGCCTCTAAGGGCTGTGCAGAGAATTGCTGCAGGGAATCAGGAACAGAGAGAAGCAAACAGTGAGCAGTTACTCACACTGTGCACACACAGCCCGTGCCAGCTCTCCATAGGTAGGGCCTTGGTACATGCAAGGGTAAAGCTCAGAAACCAACCTTCAGTGCCCAGCACAAGCTCACCAGACCCAAGAAGAGACCTCCATCCCCTTTCTGTGAGAAATTTTGGCAAAAGAAAGGTTAAAAGAGAAGAAAAGAGGGGGCACCTGGAGTTGAACCAGGGACCTCTTGATCTGCAGTCAAATGCTCTACCACTGAGCTATACCCCCTGGGTTAACACCTCTCACAAGGACATTTTAAAAACATCCACCCAGAAAGACAAGGTTTTATGTCCACTGGTCTTATTCTCATATTGACACCCCCCTGAGCCTCCAAGGGCTGCACAGAGAATTAGGAACAGAGAATCGGGAACAGAGAGAAGCAAACAGCGAGCAGTTACTCACACTGTGCACACACAGCCCGTTTCCTTACAGTCAGAGCCTCGGTGCCTTCAATGCTGAGGCTCAGACCAACCTTCAGTGCCCAGCACAAGCTCACTAGGCCCAAAAAGAGCTCCCTGTCTTCTTTCTGAGAGAAATTTTGGCAAAATGAAGGGTAAAGGAGAAGAAAGGAGGGGGCACCTGGAGTTGAACCAGGGACCTCTTGATCTGCAGTCAAATGCTCTACCACTGAGCTATACCCCCTGCCTGTGAACCCCTCAAATCACCTGAAAAAAAAAAGCACTTTAAAGTATGTTCTACCCCAATCTCTCACCTCTCTGTTCCACAGGAAGCAAATCCTGCTGCAGAAAGTGCTAGACTGAAAAGCAACACCAGCCCAGATGTTCCCTCAACTCCCACACAGGGCACAGACACTCTCTCCCTTTACTGCTGACCTTGGCCCAGTTCTTCCCCACCCATCTCTCTTTCCTCTCCCAGTTACACTCTGTCCCCTTGGAGCAGTCTCTTGAAACAGAAACTTCCTTCAAGTCTTTGGTGTTTTCCCTGCACATTCTGGCTCCATCTGTAACTGTGAAAACAAATTAGTAGGAGAGGAAGCTGAGATGATCTTACCAGTCAGCATTCCAGTGAAGAAATGCCCCAAAATCTCACCAAAAAAACCAGATTATGAGGGGGCACCCAGAGTTGAACTGGGGACCTCTTGATCTGCAGTCAAATGCTCTACCACTGAGCTATACCCCCTGGCACAGGCCTGTGCAGGGAGGGTTTAAAAACATTTGTATAGAGAGACAAGTTTTTGTTCATTGGTCAAATTCTGGTACTTGACAGCCCCTGAAGCCTTTCCCTGTCCCGGCCAAGGGCTGTGCAGAGAATTACAGCAGGAAATCAGGAACAGAGAGAAGAAAATACAGACAGTGAGTAGTTTCCCCCTAGTCAAGACCTCAGTACCTTCAATAATGGAGCTCAGAAACCAGCCTTCAGCACCCTGCACATGCTCACCAGACCCAAGAAGATCTCTCCATCTTCTTTCTGTGAGAAATTTTGGCAAAAGGAAGGGTAAAGGAGGGGAAAAGAGGGGAAAAGAGGGGGCACCTGGAGTTGAACCAGGGACCTCTTGATCTGCAGTCAAATGCTCTACCACTGAGCTATACCCCCTGTAAACACCACCTCACCTCTTCCACCACAACCTCTCAGCACCCTCCTCCCACCCTAAACACCACCTCACCTCTTCCACCACAACCTCTCAGCACCCTCCTCCCACCCTAACTGCAGCCCTGCCTCTCACACCACAACCTCTCAGCACCCTCCTCCCACCCTAAACACCACCTCACCTCTTCCACCACAACCTCTCAGCACCCTCCTCCCTCCCAAAATACCACCTCACCTCTCCCACCACCCTTCCAGGCAGGCTCCTGCACCCAAGCTCATCCATTCCCAGTTGTCTTTCTCTAAAATACCCCACTGTGGACAGCAAAGAACACTTCAAAACACTGTTTGGTCTCGGGGTGTGCCCTGCCATGAGGCAGCACACCAACCTCCCAGGGAAATCACCTGCCCAACACCTCCCACCCTGCCCACAGCCTCTCTGTCCTCCCTGACTGACACCCCAAAGGCAGGGGACGCCGAGAGAGAAGCACCCAAAGCATTTCATCCAGCTGGGGTGCCATGCTCTGCTTCAGAATGTCTTCAGAGACCAGAACCCCGTTACAAGCAGTTAAAATAGATCAATGGGGAACACCTTTATTTCAGTGGTGGTTCCTTACTCATTAGCAGGTCTCTGCTTCTCTCCCCAGGTCTAAGGAACAGCTCCTTCCTCACCAGTGTGCTGCACTGACAGCCAGGACACCCCTTGGCCCCTTCCGTGGGTTCCAGGTCTGCTGGGGAGAAGCCACGACCACCCTCCTGCTCCGAGGAAGGGCCTGTAGAGAAGAGAGTGACCCTCAGTCCCTTTTCCATGTTTTCCCATTATCCAGCAGCAATGTCTGAAAAACAATTTTTAGGCCATAAGATTTTGCAGATTCACGTTGTTACAGCCACACAGCTGTTTAAAAGCTTCCAGCTTCATTTTTATGTAACTGTTTCTCAAGCAAAGCATTTGACTCCCAGCCGACCCCACCTGACGAGCTGTGAAAAGGACACGTGCACTGACAGCCAGGACACCCCTTGGCCCCTTCCGTGGGTTCCAGGTCTGCTGGGGAGAAGCCACGACCACCCTCCTGCTCCGAGGAAGGGCCTGTAGAGAAGAGAGTGACCCTCAGTCCCTTTTCCATGTTTTCCCATTATCCAGCAGCAATGTCTGAAAAACAATTTTTAGGCCATAAGATTTTGCAGATTCACGTTGTTACAGCCACACAGCTGTTTAAAAGCTTCCAGCTTCATTTTTATGTAACTGTTTCTCAAGCAAAGCATTTGACTCCCAGCAACCCCACCCAACGAGCTGTGAAAAGGACACATACCTGCACCTCCCAAAATTCCACTCAGGAACCTCTGCTCTGCCTCACAGCCCTGGGATGAACCCACCATCCCAGCTGTGTGACCGCAGCGCTGCAGGAGAGAGAGGAAAAAGAACAATCAAGGACTAAAAGGGGCTGCCCTGAGGGAGAAATCACACAGGAGCTGGAGAAAAAAGATCATATTTTTGAGGAGAGATAGATTTTTGCAAACTGTTCCATTCTAAAGTGGTTTGAAACAGGGCTGTACAGAGAAACGAGTCCAAAAGCTGCTTTATCTCCAGACTCCAACTTCTCTTTTTTTTTTTTTTTTATTACTACAAACAAGAGCATTTTGGTTTCAATCCCAGACTTTTAAAGCTTCATAACGTCCAAGGCACCAGCCCGTGGAGGCGAGAGACATCCAAAGCGCATTTCCACATCAGTGGAGGTGTTTTTACATAAAAAATATTAAACTCATAACCCCCGGCAAGCAAACTTGTTTTTTTGGCATGAAGTTACTGGTGACACCCGCAGGGAAACGCAGCTGATGTTTAACTTAATGAAACAGGAAGAGTTTAATTAGAAGCCTCTTCTGCAAAAGTGGCGTCACGTGGCCAATGGGCTGACGACCGGTTACGCTCCGTTATTAGCAGCCCCGGGACCGTTACAAAACCCCAGGGAAGTTTAAAGACAGTTTCCCTCCGCACAGAACAAAGCACCGACGCTGTGCAGACCCCCCCGTCTCATCCCCCGGGGCACCGGGAGCCCCCGCAGCCCCTCACCGGCTCCTCAGTTCCCGCCGCGCCTCCTCCATCGCCATCTGCCGCTCGGCCTCACGCTTCTCCCCGGGTTTCCGCGCCTCCTCCGCGTTGCGCCGGGCCGGGGGTGCCGGCTCCTCCTCAGGCTCTGCAGGACGGGGCGGGGGAACCGAACCAGGACCGTTAACAACGGGCCGCCTCCCCCCGCCGGTAGCCACGGGGAAGGGCCCGCTCACAGCCGCGCTCGCCCGCAGCCCGCCCACTGCGGCACCGAGACCCTGCGGGACGGGACACGCTCGGTCCCACCCCACCGCGACCCGCTCGCACCGGCGGCCCCGCAACCACCGGAGAACACGGACACGGCCGCAGGGCCCGGCCAACCCGCGTCTACCGGACCCGTCCCCGCCCGGGCTGGTCCCGGGAGCCCCGGCGACGACTCTCGGCCCGCTCGGCTCCCCCGGACCCCGGCCTTCCTCACCAGGTCGCCTCCCCCCATGGCGGCGGACGGGCCTGCGCTTCCCCCGCGGCTACCGGGCCTGTGCGGGCGTCATCAACGCGCGACGCGTCACCGCCTGTTCCGCCCGGCGCCGCTCAGAGACGTCACTTCTGCCGCGACGCTGAGGGGAGCCGGCAAGATGGCGGGCCGAGGCGGCGGCGGAGGGTACAGCCGGCCCCGCGGGGCCTCCCGGTGCCGCTCAGTGAGGAAAAAGAAAAGATGTAAAGCACTAACGTGACACCGCCCGCCCTCCCGGGTGGAGGAGACGGTTAAACGGCGCGGACCAAACGGGATTCCCCCCGCCCGCCGGTCCCGTGAGGAGCCGGCCGGGTGTGGCCGTGCCCGGGCCTGCAGGTTGGTTTCTTTCCTTTCCCAGGCCAGGGGCCGATCCCGGGGGCGCAGCTCGGGGAGGGGTGTCCCCGTGCGAATCCTCCCGGGCGGTTACACATCGCGGTTACAGGAGATAATTGAACAGGAGATAATTCCCGGGAGGAAGGCGTTGGGGTGTTATAATTAGAGAACGCCTGTCTCGGCTCCCCGTGATTACAGCAGAACCGCTGCCGCAGGTAAAAAGGCTCCCGCGGGGTGTGAGTCCCTGTGGCAGCGCTGGGGGCGGGTTAGAACTGGTGACCTCCCGGTTCCCGGCCCCGCGCGCTGCCCCTGCGCCACCTCCTCCCCGCAAGCCCCGCCCACCTCCCCCCGCGAGCCCCGGGGGCGCAGCTCAGGGGCAGCGCGTCCGGCTGCGGGCGTGAAGGTTGTCGGTTCGAGCCCCGGGGTAGGACAACCATACCCAGCGCCAGAGCTGTCATTCAGCAGCCCTACCACACGCTTATTTATACATCACAGCCCTGTGCCCTTCAGGAAACATTTCTGCAGAGCTCCCTCGTCTAGAAAGATATTATACATGTTGTTTACTCTTTAATTAACATCAATTACTTAAACAGGAAAAACTGGACCAGCAGAGCCAGCTTCTTCGCGTGAACGTGCAGTATTCAGGAGCAGAGAAGGAGAAATGTCAAAGTTTTTTGATTTCACACCTGGCAAAAAATCACCAAGGGATTTCCAAAATGTCAGAGCCATAAAAAAGCACCTCCAGTGTCTGTCTGTGAGGGAATTTTGGAAGAAGAAAGGGTGAAAAAGCAGCTAAAGAGGGGGCACCTGGAGTTGAACCAGGGACCTCTTGATCTGCAGTCAAATGCTCTACCACTGAGCTATACCCCCTTGCTCAAACTATGTCTCAAGTAGATTTTAAAAAGCCTTTCTGTAAAGAGAGACAAGTGTCCACATCCATGGGTCATATTCTTTTATTTCACAGCCCCCTGAGCCTCTTCATGTCCCTGCCAAGGGCTGTGCAGAGAATCACTGGAAAGAATCAGGAACAGAGAGAAGTACGTACAGACAGCGAGTAGTTTCTCACAGAGCACACGACCCCGCAGTTTCCTCGTAGTCAGGGCCTCTACCTTGAATAGTGGAGCTCAGAAACCAACCTTCAGGGCCCTGCACAAGCTCACCGGACCCAGGAAGAGCTCTCTGTCTTCTTTCTGAGAGAAATTTTGGGAAAAATAAGGGTAAAGGAGGGGGCACCTGGAGTTGAACCAGGGACCTCTTGATCTGCAGTCAAATGCTCTACCACTGAGCTATACCCCCTACATGCAAACTTTGCCAATCACCTAGAAAAAACATTTTAAAGTATGTTCCACAGGAAGTAAGTCCTACTGTAGAAATTGCAAGACTGAAATGCAACAGCAGCCCAGATGTTGAGTCCCTCCACTCCCACACAGGGCACAGACACTCTCTTCTCCGTTTACCGGCTGACCTTGGCCCAGTTCCTCCCCACCCATCTCCTTCCTCTCCCAGTTACAGTCTATCCTCTTGGAGCAGTCTCTTGACACAGCATCAGCCTCAAACTTGGACATTTCACCTGCTCTTTGCAGCTGTGAGTGTGATTTGAAAAAGAGTTAGTAGAAGAGGAAGCCGAGCTGATCTTGTCAGTCAGTCTCCCAGTGAAGAAACCCTCCCACATCCCAGGAAAAAGTAGTTTGTGAGGGGGCACCCAGAGTTGAACTGGGGACCTCTTGATCTGCAGTCAAATGCTCTACCACTGAGCTATACCCCCTGGCACAGGCCTGCTCAGGGATGGTTTAAAAATGTTTATAGGGAGAGACAAATGTCTACATGTGCTGATCTTATATTTGACACCCCCCTGAGCCTCTTCATGTCCCTGCCAAGGGTTGCACAGAGAATTAGGAACAGAGAGAAGCAAACAGCGAGCAGTTACTCACACTGTGCTCACACAGCCCGTTTCCTTACAGTCAGAGCCTCGGTGCCTTCAATGCTGAGGCTCAGAAACCAACCTTCAGCACCCTGCACAAGCTCACTAGGCCCAAGAAGAGCTCTCTGTCTTCTTTCTGAGAGAAATCTTGGCAAAAGGAAGGTTAAAGTGAGGCTCAGACCAACCTTCAGTGCCCAGCAGAAGCTCACCAGACCCAAGAAGAGCTCCCTGTCTTCTTTCTGTGAGAAATCTTGGGAAAAAGAAGGTTAAAAGAGAAGAAAAGAGGGGGCACCTGGAGTTGAACCAGGGACCTCTTGATCTGCAGTCAAATGCTCTACCACTGAGCTATACCCCCACCTGCTTTTCTAAATATGCCCCTTTTCCTTACCAACAATCACTCCAAACATCCACAAACTAATCCTGGGACAAAACAGTAGTGTTTCAGGAAATACTTAATCTCTCTCCTCACAACCCCCCCACTGATGCTCCTCTTCTCTCCTAGGAATCAGCTTCCCCACCTCTCCCCAGCACCTGGTCAATGGAGGACTGAGTCAGCAGAGAGTTTAGGGGAAAAGCATTGATGTTAAGGGCTCCAAACCCACTTTTTCTGGACAAAAAGAAGGAAAAGGGGAGGGGGCACCCGGATTTGAACCGGGGACCTCTTGATCTGCAGTCAAATGCTCTACCCCTGAGCTATACCCCCACCTGGGCAGGTGTGTCCAGCCCGGCTCCTCCTGGGCAGCCTCTGGCCGGCTGCGCTGCATTCCACTGCCTGTGCTCACTGCACTGCAGCCCTGCCTCTCACACCACAACCTCTCAGCACCCTCCTCCCACCCTAAACACCACCTCACCTCTCCCACCACCCTTCCAGGCAGGCTCCTGCACCCAAGCTCACCCATTCCCAGTTGTCTTTCTCTAAAATACCCCACTGTGGAGCAGGAAAAAGTAGCACTTTGAAGTGCTGACTTCAAAACAGTGAACAGCCCTTGGCTGCACCTCTGTTTGGTCTCGGGGTGTGCCCTGCCATTAGGCAGCACACCAGCCTCCCAGGGGAACCACCTGCCCAACACCTCCCACCCTGCCCACAGCCTCTCTGTCCTCCCCGACTGACACCCCAAAGGCAGGGGAACAGAAACAGGCTGACAGAGAAACACCCAAATCATTTCGGCCAACTGCAGTGCCGTGCTCTGCATCACAAAAATCTTTCTGCACCAAAAAACCCCAGCAGAAGCAGTTAAAATAGATCAATGGGGAACACCTTTATTTCAGTGGTGGTTCCTTACTCATTAGCAGGTCTCTGCTTCTCTCCTCAGGTCTGAGGAACAGCTCCTTCCTCACCAGCGCGCTGCGGAGACGGCCACCACTGACAGGGACAGAGATGTCCTTCAGCCACACGTCTGCTGGGGAGAAGCCACGACTGCTCAGAGGAAGGACCTGCAGAGAAGAAAATGCCCCTCAGTCCCTGTAAGTCCAAGTTTCCCCCTCCCCAGCTGCTGCTGGGGCACAGCTCCCTATTATCCAGCAGAAACAATTTGTAGGCCTGGAGATTTTGTGGCCAAAACAAGTGTTTAAAAAAACACCACCACTTCTCAAACCTCTGCAAGACCCTGGTGGCTCTTCTCCATCCTCACCTGTGTTGGTGTTACAAAATCTCTCAGGCTTCTCTCCCCTCCCCACCCTCCACCCTCACCCCTCTGCACCGAAACCACCCAGAGCACCCAAATCTATCAGAAATTTTTAAGGGAAGGGACAAAGTGACACCTGGTGGGGGAACAGTAAATGCCTGGGTGGAGGGAGGCGAGTCCAAACCTCATGGAGGCTGCCTGAGACCCCCCTGTGCTGGGGCTGGTCTGGGTGTTACAGGGCTCCAGGGCCACCACATCCAGAACAAAGTCACCCCTGTTGTCACTTGCGAGCTGAGGGACAAGGCAGCCTCTTGGCCCTGCTCAGGAGGTCTGGGGAAGAAGCCCTTCACATCCAAATCCATCCCTGCTCCGTGTCAGCCAGAGGGGACACCAGGGGAACCGCAAGGAACTCAACATCACACCAGGAACCTTTGCAGAGACCTCCTAACTCTGGTCTTCAAGCCTTTCAGCTGACTTTTCATCGGCTCTTCATCAGTTCACATCACCCCTTCTAATTGCAATTAGCAAATTAACGACCCTGGGGTCTGTCTCACCCCTGCTGGGGGGGTTTAGTGGCACATGCCTCAGCCACGACCACAGCCAGCAGCGGTGGCTCCATGTGGCCTTGCACATCTTCAGCAAGGTCTGAGGGACATTCTCCAGAGCCTGGCATCCGCAGGGAACGCTGTGGCTGTTGGCACACACCCATCTCGGGCAAGTATTTCCCCCCCCAGCACACACACATCATCATACCAGTATCTCTAAGCAGTTAAATTGCTCTTTCTGGAACAAAATTCCAGACCTACACTTGTGGGAGCCCCTGTACGAAGGCTTCTTGTAGAAGGGCTTTCACAGACACCTCCTGATTTCCATCCACACACACGTAAATTGGAACAATTCAATCAATGCTACTAAAATTTAGGTCATTTCATTGCAATCCCCTTCCAAATATGTTCCAGGAAGACAGGAAACTGCCTGAAAGATTTATCACTGAGTATCAGAACTCCAAAATCCCATTTTCCCTCTGAAGTGTAAATCCATACAAGTTTGTTCCGTAAAAAAAAGAGCTTCCCAGAACCAAACTCCCTCAATTCTAACACCATCCTGCTCGGGCGAGGAGGGCACTTTGGCAAGAAAGACACTTCTTATTTGGTAACAAGGAGTTTTATTTTAAATCTCTATGAAGACAGACGCGTTTACGCGATGCTCCCCGCGTTGGAGGCTATCCTGGGCCACAGGTCTGCGCACTCCTTGGCCACGGGGCCTGTGATGGCTGAGCCTGGAAGAGAGAAGAAAAGATGACAAAATTAGAGGTTCAAGGAGGTGCAGAGAGCGCTCAGGGCAGCGTTTTACACAGACAGCAGCTCAGCCCGACTGCACCCTACTGAATCCGAAGAGAATTTGGGTTCTTTCGCCCCAGAAAGCGCAGCCCCCCACCACCAGCACCACCCACCCTCCTCTGCCCAGCACAGGATCCCTCTCCGTACCTTTCATTTCGCCTTTATTATTTACTATCACTCCTGCGTTGTCTTCAAAATAGAGGAACACCCCGTCTTTTCTCCTGTAGGATTTCCGCTGCCGAATGACCACCGCGGGGTGCACTGCCAAGAGAAACAGACACCCGGGTATCACCAACATCCTTCTCAACACCCAAACCCTACAAGAAACGCCCTGGAGGGGTTGTTCTGCTGCAGCAACTACCTCAGTGCGAGGCTTTGGGGGTGTTTCACATCTCATATTTGCAGAGCTTTGCTAAAAACTACACTTTATTTCACTGAATTTCACTGAATTTTAGAGTTGGAAGGGACCATAGAGATTATCTAGTCCAACTCCCCTGCTGAAGCAGGATTGCCCAGAGCTTGTCAGAGCATGTTACTCAGGAGCATCCAGGTGGGTCTTGAAAATCTCCAAAGAAGGGGACTCCACACCCTCCCTGGGCAGCCTGTTCCAGGGCTCTGCCACCCTCACCGTGAAGAAGTTTCTCCTCATATTTGAGTGGAACCTCTTATGGTCCAACTTGTGCCCGTTGCCCCTCGTCCTCTCACTGGGAACCACTGAAAAGAGTCCGGCTCCCTCCTTTCAGTGACCTTTTTATGACCAATAATACACTTAAAATTAGCCGTCAGGCTGACAGCTGTCCCTACACTTGGGCAATTCAGTGTTTTTCTGCTTTCTCACCTTTATTTCTAAATAACCCGTGGATTCACCAACGATATTCAGCCACAACTCCCTCCAGCGCTGCAGAACCCCCCCGTGTGTGGGGTGTCACAGCGAGGGGGGGTGTCACCGTGGGGTGGGATGTCACAGCGCCGATTGAAGCCAACAGCACGAGCCGCCGCTTCACCCAAAAGCGCTGCCTTCGCTCTGCCCTTCCACGACAACTCACCGAGCCACGGGGGACAGGCCCAACGAGTGCTTTTTAGGAGGGTGGAGGTGACGCTCCAGAGGGTCAGTGCCCACCTCTCCCCCTCTAATGGGGGGAACCGTCCTCCCCCTTCCACGGACACCCCCTCAGGACTCCCTCCCCACCGCTCTCCGCACTCACCCTTCTTCCTCAGCTCGGGTTTGCCTTTTTTGACGGTGGCCATCACCATGTCGCCCACGCCAGCCGCCGGCAGCCTGTTGAGACGCCCCTTGATGCCCTTCACGGAGATGATGTAAAGGTTCTTGGCTCCTGCGGGGAAAGCACCAGCGTCAACCGGGGGTCCTGCGGGGAAAGCACCGGCGTCAACCGGGGAAGACCCTCCCCTCGTCAAACCCCCCGACCGAGGCCACGCCATCGCCACCTCCTCCTGCCACACCTCACTGAGCCACGAGCGCAGGCCCAACGGGAGCTTTTCAGAAAGAAAAAAGTGGTTTTTTACAAGCCCGTTGAACAGCTGGGTGCCCTCCGCCTGACTCCTTCCCGCAAGACACCCCTCCTCCCCAGGGCTGAGGGCCCGGGCCCGGTCGCACTCACCGGTATTATCGGCGCAGTTGATCACGGCTCCCACCGGCAAACCGAGGGAGATGCGGAACTTCGCCCCGGAGGAACCACCGCGTCCTGAGGGGTCGAGAAGAAGATTAAAACCCCCGGAAGTACAACGGCTGAGGCGGCAGGGAGCCAGCCCGGGCCTAGGCCTCCCCGGGAAGGGGGGGTCAACGACACCGGCTGCACCCTCCGCTCCCGGCCGGGTGTCACTCCCCGGGTTCCCGCTCCACCAGATCCCACCCGAATTGCCATCCGGGACGCTCCGAAATACCGGATGGACCCAGATTCCTCACTCCCGGTTCCCTCCTCACCTCGCTTCGACATCTTGGCGCCGGAAGAGAAGGGAGGGGCGCGGGGGACGCCGGGATATGGGGGCGGGCGTCACGTGATCAGGCCGCCATTTCGCAGCGCCCCCTAGAGGCACCGGGAAGCACACACACCCCCCCACAAAAAAAAGCCCGGTACCGGCACCACCGGGGAGGGTAACGCGTGGGGGATGACAAAAAATCTTTAATTTTACGTTGTTGCTTTTGGGGAAGTGAAGGAAAGAGATCAAAGGGGGAGAAAAAGAAAGAAAGGAGAGGGGAAGGAAAACGAGGGGGCACCCGGATTTGAACCGGGGACCTCTTGATCTGCAGTCAAATGCTCTGCCACTGAGCTATACCCCCACCGGTACGCGAGACGGCGCCGTGGATTGAGGAGGCCCCCCATCCTCCGGGAAGGAAGAGGGGAAGGGAAAGGGGAAGGGAAGAGGGAAAGGGAAGAGGAAGGGAAATGAAGGGAAGGGAAAAGGGAAAGGGAAGGGGGGAAAAGGGAAAGGAAGGAAAAGGGGAAGGAAAAGGAAAGGGAAAAGGGAAGGGGAAGGGAAAGGAAAAGGAAAGGGAAAAGGGAAGGCAAGGGGGAAAGAAGGGAAAAGGGAAGGGAAAAGGAAAGTGAAGGGGGAAAGGGAAGGGAAGGGAAAAGGGAAGGCAAGGGGGAAAGAAGGGAAAAGGGAAGGAAAAAGGAAAGTGAAGGGGGAAAGGGAAGGGAAGGGAAAAGGGAAAGGAAGGGGAAAAGGGAAAAGAAACAAAAAGGGAAGGGAAAAGGGAAAAAGAAAAAGGAAGGGGGAAAAGGAAAGGGGAAAGAAGGGGAAAGGGAAGAGAAGAAAAAAGAAAGGGGAAGGGAAGGGGAAAGGGGGAAGGAAAGGAAAAAGAAACGAAAAGAGAAGAGAAGGAATGGGGGAAAGGAAGGGGAAGAGGGAAAGGAGAAGGGAAGGAAAAAGTAAAAGGAAGGGGGAAGGGAAAGGGAAAAGAAAGGGAAAGGGAAGGGGAAAAGGGAAGGGAAGGAATGGGGAAAGGAAGGGGAAGAGGGAAAGGGAAGGAAATTAAAGCGAAAAAAAAGAAAGAAAATGAAAGGAAAAGAGAAAAGAGAGAAAGAAAGAACAACTGCAGCTGGAGCTGGGCCGTGGCAGAGCGATGGCCTCGGCTGCCCCGGGGAAGCAGCAGCAGCAGCAGCAGCTGGGGGGAGGCTGAGGAGAGCACCCCCTCCCCGCACGTCTGGGTGACGAAGAGCCTCCCTCACCCGGCAGCGTCTCCTGAGCTGAGAGAGGAAAAACCACCCACAACCCCCCAAAAAAAGAGCTGGAGAAGCAGAAAAGCTCGTCTTATTTTAAGCCGCGCTGGGCCGGGAAAGGGTGGGAGGCTGATTTGGGGGGGGGCTGGGTGAGGTGAGCAGGAGGGGAAGGAGTGGGCGCCTTTGTGAGAGGATCAGAGAAGCTGCTTTTTAAACGAAAGAAGCCAATTTGAAGCCGCATCCTGAAAGGAATGAGAGGGAAGAGAGCGGGGAGCAGCCCGGTTTGATGTGGGTGTTGCTTTCATTAAAGCCTCCCTGCGAACAGCCACTGCCGAGGCTCCTTCTTTTGTGAGAGGGAAGGGAGGACGTTGGGGGAATTAAGGTATCATTATCTTCTGAGAAAAAACGGAATTCATGTTCTTCCCTCAGGCTTCTGTAACGTAATCACCCGAATCTGGAACCTGGGAACCCAAAAAACCCCAAGATTTGGGGTACCCACGGGGCTGGGCCCGGCCCTGCCCAGCTCCGGGTCCTTCTTGCTGATGGGCAATAAAATCCCAATAAAATTAGGCTTGAAATTACGGCTAAAACGAAGATGGAGACCCCCTTTGCACAAGGAGCAAAATAGAAAAGACGAGGGTACAAGTTCTTCCTGGAGAGAAGGGGCAAACTTTTCACTCTGAGGACAATCATCTCCCCAGGGAAGCGGTGGATTCCCCAAAAGTGGATTTCCCCAAAATCGGATACTTTTAAACTTCAGGGTGCCAGGCGGCTTTATCCAAACTGTGGATATCCAAACTTTTATCACGAAAGGTTGGACCAGATGATCCTTGTTGGGGTAAAGTCCCCTTCCAATCAGGTGTTCCATGCTAAAACTTGGAAAAAGATTTAAAATTAAAACAAAAATTAAAATTATAATTAAAACATTTTAATCAGGAATTTAAAGAATCCATTCATTAAAACGCATTTCAACTGTGAATTGGGTTTGATAAACCACGTGTCAGGCGCAGCCCTAGAGATGGGGGTGCCCCCTCTCCCCTCGGGTCTTCGCTTTAAAATTAGTAGTAAAAAATTAAAAAAAGGAAGGAAAAAAAACCCGGAAAATGGAAATTTGAGGTTTAGGATTAACGAATTCATTCATTAAGAGGCCTTCTGACCGTGAATTAGATTTGAGAAACCAGCCTTAGAGATGGGGATGCTCCATCTCCCCCACTGGGGGGCTTTGCCTTTTCCTATTTTAAAATTTAAAAAAAATAAAAATAATAATAATAAAAAAAGAAACCCCCCAAAATGGAAAGTTGAGATTTAGGGTTAATGAATTCATTCATTAAGAGGCATTCCGACCGTGAATTAGATTTGAGAAACCAGCCTTAGAGATGGGGCTTCTCCATCTCTCCCCCCCGGGGGGCTTTGCCCATCGCTTTAAAATTAAAAAAAAAAATAAAAAAGGGAAAAAAAAAAAATAAAAGAACCCCCCCCAAAATGGAAAGTTGAGGTTTAGGGTTAACGAATTAATTCATTAAGAGGCATTCTGACCATGAATTAGATTTGAGAAACCAGCCCTAGAGATGGGGCTGCTCCATCTCCCCCTCCGGAGGGGCTTTAAAATTATTAGGAAGAAAACAAAAATCATTTAAGTTAAAAAAATAAATAAGAAATTAAAAAATAAAAATTTTTAAAATTTAAAAATACGATAGCCGAGCTTTCAGGGGGCACCCGGATTTGAACCGGGGACCTCTTGATCTGCAGTCAAATGCTCTACCCCTGAGCTATACCCCCACCTGGGCAGGTGTGTCCAGCCCGGCTCCTCCTGGGCAGCCTCTGGCCGGCTGCGCTGCATTCCACTGCCTGTGCTCACTGCACTGCAGCCCTGCCTCTCACACCACAACCTCTCAGCACCCTCCTCCCACCCTAAACACCACCTCACCTCTTCCACCACAACCTCTCAGCACCCTCCTCCCTCCCAAAATACCACCTCACCTCTCCCACCACCCTTCCAGGCAGGCTCCTGCACCCAAGCTCATCCATTCCCAGTTGTCTTTCTCTAAAATACCCCACTGTGGACAGCAAAGAACACTTCAAAACACTGTTTGGTCTCGGGGGGTGCCCTGCCATGAGGCAGCACACCAACCTCCCAGGGAAATCACCTGCCCAACACCACCCACCCTG